ATCACCTGTTTATTCTCAACCACGTCTTAAGATGCCCACCTGGCGTTGGTACTTGGGCTCCATCATACATTCAGGTACTGTATAGTATACATTGGTGTAACTAATTTATGATATTTGAAGTTGATAACACTTAATTTTTATCTGGAATTAAATACTAAAGGCTGAAAATATAGGTCAAGCAACCAAATCAGGTCTGAGTTCTTATTAGTTTTATTTTCAACTTAAGAATAATTACCCTTTACCCCTCACTCATTTTAGAATTACAAACTGGTATTTCCATATAAACAAATAAGAAGAAACAATGTCTGAGCTAAACTTAGCATTTATTCTAATCTTATACTGTATTGTTGTTGTGCAGTAATGCTAAAGGGTGTTTCACTGGCTAGGGTCTTTGAACATTCATCAAGTCTTAATTTTTATATCGGATAAGAACTTTTGAAATTTTTAAAAGGACTTTGTTTTGGATTTGTTTTGGATGCTTGCTTTTATGTGTTTGTAAAATAAAGTGGAAGATTGTATCTCGGGTTCTAGAGACTGCTAAGCATACCAGACTTGTTAATATATCTTAAAAGCCTGGAAAACTGGATTTAGGGCTTTAAATACACCATACTGTGCTTTATTTTAACAAATGTCAGAATTGTTGCGACATTCACTCTTTGTGCCATCATTTAAATAAATGTCAGAATTGTTGCGACATTCACTCTTTGTGCCATCATTTAAATATAAATTTAATTTTATTATTGAATACAAGTTTATTAATACAGGTTGTACCTCTCTATTCCGGCAACCTCGGGACCTGACCGGTGCCGGACCATGGAAATTCACCCTTTTCCTGGATAGATAGTGACTTGTGCTTATGCTTGGAAGCACTAGCACCACTTTCTCTGCATCATGGTCTCTTTGAAGACATATTGAAGGGTTAAATGTCGTATAGTAACTTCTCAAATTTCGCGAGTTTTTAATTCTTAACGTATTTTATTGGAACACACAAAAAAATAAATAAATAAACAATTTGACGGCGGAAACTTGAATTTCGACAGGTTTGAACGGCCCGCCAACGTGCAGACGACGTGCATAATCATGTAAACAGCGTCATTTCTCTTCTGTACAAAAGATTCATTATTGTTTATTACTGAATGTCTTTTTTATTGAATTAATGTTTGTGTGCAAAATGAGCAATACAATGCATTAATAATACGTAGAATATTAAAACACACGAGGAAATGACACAGCATTGTTTTCGTTGATTACAAAGCCAGTGACTGACTAGTTCTACATATAAAACTGAAGAAAATAAGACCTTGGTTGTAGCTGTAGTAAAATTAATATGGTTGTTTTAAGTAATGTTATTTAATGTTAATAAATGGAACAATAGAAGTAGCTAACGATAATGGTAAAGAAAAGAGAGATCGCGTATGTAAGTGCGCATGCGCACACGTGAAAACATATCGTCATTACTTTACATAAGAATATGAAAGCAACACTTATTTACTGTTCATCTATATTTTAATTAATGTTTCTGAATTTGTTTTTATTGAATTAATGTATGTGTGTGCAAAATTAACAATACAATTTATTAATAATACGTGGAATATTAGAGGAGACGAGACGAGACGAGACGGCTGCCGGCATTGTTTATGTTAAAGCTTAGGAAACCAGTGACTGATTGGTTCTACATATAAAACTGAAGAAAATAAGACCCTGATTTTAGCTGTAGTAAAATTAATGTAAAAAAAATAATATGGTTGTTTGAAGTACCTGTAATGTTATTTAATGTTAATAAATGGAACAATATACTGTAAGTAGCTAACCATTAATGGTAAATGGACTGCTTGGCGTATGTGAGGTGCTTTTGTGTGGCTATATGGGTATTACCAACGAAGAATATAAACAACACTTGTTGCATATATATATTGAAGGGTTAAATGTTGTACTCTACAGTGACCCTACGTTTTAAAATGCCACAGTTAACGAAATTTCGGTTAACAAACTTTACCTTCCGCAGGATCTTCAATAGTCGGTTATGAACAAAAATTCCGGTTAACAGAATTTCTTACAGGCTCGAAACTCAGCATGTTTTAGCCCCCTTGCACTGACGGGCAACCAACTTTGTATCAGTCGCCAATACATTAATGGGGTTCTAGGGCTTAAATTCCTTACTATTTTAGTAAATATCAAAGTTTATACTATTCAATAATTTTAAAAGTTTAATATTCAATTTTTTAGTCATTTTAACACTTATTGAACATAATTGAAGGTAAAGTGACTAGTTTAATGTGCGGCATCCAGCCTCTTAACACAGCAAACAGGCGTTAGTCTCTCTCTGTTTTCACTGGAGGTAACATCTTGCTTGAGACTCTTCAACTAAACGCTTTTTTTCTGTGTTTCCAAGCAAATTATTGGTCATTTTGAAATTTATTTTACATATCGACAATATATAATGCAGTGCAGTGTTGATTTAAAGAAAATAATCTTGAATTACACCAAGAGAGCTAAAATTTTATGGGTGAAATGGCGCCATGGGGTGACTTCTCTTCCACCCCAATGCCTTCTCTTCTTCCTTCTCCTCCACCCCCATTCTAAATTCCATCATCATCATCACCCAGGAGCCTTCTACATACACACCTCAAAGTAAGTGAACTTTTCTACCATTTTTGTTGAATTTAGGAAATTTTCGGTGAGCTGGAACCAATTACCCAAAAACCCATTGAAGCAATGGTTTCGGTTAACGAACTTTTCGGTTAACGAACGACCTTCTGGAACGGATTGAGTTCGTTAACCGAGGGGTCACTGTATAGACAAGCAGAGAGAGCGAGAGAGAGAGCAGCCGGATGTAAACAAACCTTAATTTCCCGCGGCTGTTTTTTTTTTTTTTTTTTGAAGTTAGCCCACCGGGCATAGGTCACTGACCACATTGGGGCCTGAGGGGCAAAAATTGAATAGTCCTGTAATAATAATTCAGATAAGTAAAAAAAAAAAAAGAGCTGCCTATCTACCTATTGGACAAACTAAAATCATACCGGACCACGGGAGTTTCCGGACCACAGAATGCCGGACTAGAGAGGTACAACCTGTACAGTACAGGATATTGGTACAGGGTTAAAATTTTCTGTGATTATTAATTTGTAATGTATAACATTCATTGGCTTTACTGTACAGGTATATATACTGTAAAATCATTTTTTATGTACAGTATATTAACCCAGTATTGTATGTTATTCCCTATCTTATGACTGAGATACAGTGTTAGGAAGATAAAAAATGTATTGTAATTTATTATACTGTATTTTTGATAGATTGGAGGACCATGGGAACAAGATGGCATTGATGGGGGAGTTTGTGGTGGAATGTTAGGGTGCTGGCCACTAGACCATGCCCTCACTGTGCTCTCTACTATACTCAACCCAGTTAAAGCCAGGGAAGATTTTCTTCATCATCTTAAAGAAACTGCATTGCCGAGTCAAGTTGATGAAGATAAGAACCTTAGTGAAGATAAAAATGATAATGTCTGGGTGGTGGTTGACAGTTCTGGGGAGGAGGAGGAAGACCCTGCTCAGCTGTGGGCCCGCTTCAATGAAAATGATGTTGTTCAGGTAGATAATCATTGAAGTTGATGAAAAGTGTTTTACACATGTCTGTACTTTCTTATCCATACCATCATTCCCATTAGTATCGGGTGGATAAATTGCATTTATCATATGTTAAGCAGTTGTGCCTTTGGGACCCACTTTCACTTTTTCACCTAAATTAATTTAATGTACCGGTAACAGTGAACATGAGAACTTCTGCAGTCACAAATAAACCAGAGAGATGTATCTATTAATTTTCATTTGTTAATGACTGGTTTATTTACTAATCTAAAAAATTTACGTATATTGAACATCAGTCACTAGGATATATATTTTTTTTTCTCCTTTTTATGTTTGTGACAATTGAAAATTTATTTTTCATTCATTTTTCCAAGTGTGCAAAGTGTTCTCACTGTACTGTAGTATAGTATCTCTAATCAGCCTTTTAACACCTGAAATCATTGACCCTCAAGGATTTATTTATTAAGTACAGTAGGCAAATCAATTCTGGTCAGTTAACCTCACTTCCACAAGCCTTTAACCTTCAGCATTACTGTGTGAATCCTCCCCAATCTATCAACCACTGCAGTGTTTGTGACTTTTCATAGCAACACTTTTCTCCTTCTGCCTCTCCTCTCTAATAATTTCTTTGCCACTCATGAATTACTTGTTTTCCTTCATTCTTTTTCTTTCCTTTGCTTTTAATATTCAGTGTTGTGCGGAATACTTTTATCTACTGCCTTATCTTTGACCACTTGTAAAAAAAATAGCTTAGTTTAGTACCCACACAGATGTACTTCTACACACAAATTTTGTGGCTTTCTGTGTATGAAGCATCATGTTTTATCTGATGTACTTCATATTCTCCAGATGATTAGTTTTGTTGATGTTTTACACTGCTTTCCAGTTATGATTTAGATTTCAAATTAATATTTAAAGGTTCCTGGTTAAAGAAAGAATTCATAATTTTTGCATCTTACAGCATCTTTCACTCTTATATAATGGGCTTTCAGATCTTAAACCAAGTGCCCTTCAAAGAAATCTTCCAGCACATATTATTGATCAAGGAAGAGGATGGATCACTCAACTATGATGTGTCTTGCACAAGTCACCAGGGCTTTATGAAGCTGTTTGCATTTGCTACTCATCTTTTACAGCTTTTTCGTACAGGACTGGCAACATATTCTCAGGTTAGTCTAATAATTAGTTGGCAGATTATTGCAACCCTTGGATGGTAATAATAATATTTATATCTATTAAACCAGTGAAGGAAAATTTCCATAATTCCCCTCAAAAATGGAAAAGCTGCACCGGTCCAATTGTGTGGCCACTAAAACCCCAGACTTGACTAAGTGGGGCGGGCGGGTCATGAAGGACATGGTTTATACTATGTACCCACAGTCCATGAATTGTTACAAGATTGCATTACTAATGCTGCACAATTTAATTTGACCCCTCCAGATATAAATAGAAGGAGAAGGTAGACATGTTTAGTACTGTACTGTATTAACCCTTTGACTTTGATCATGTGTGCCCTGGAGGGACCCCCCAGATGACTGAATTTTGTAATTTCCAATAATGAAAAGGATAATAACACTTGTTCATTGTTGCTAGTACAGAATCATGAATATTATAAATAAAATGATACTTTTACAGTAAAATCCCCATAACTTGGCACATATGGTGCTGAGGCCTTGCTGAGTACTGTAATCAAATTTGCTGACTTGGTAATTAACCTATGCAGGGTGATTCAGCAAAGAGTGCATTAAATTGGAGGATGAAATCCTTGGATAATTCTAAACCACAATGTCTTTGGTAAAATGTCAGATTCTGCATATGCCCACGTGTTCATGACAGGTGTGAGCAAATTAAACATAGTCCAGGCATTCTGGAATGGGTCAGACAATCAATGGTACAACATGTACAGGCCTGTATTGAGGCAGAAGGGAGCAACTTTGAACATTTCCTTTAAGTTGTAACAAAGAGGGGTCACACTATAGAGATCTGGGAATAAATGATTACAGAAACCTAGGGGGTTTCACTTCAAATTCACTCTCATTAATACAAACATTAAATGTATTGTAACATGGAAACTATGCAGAATCTGACATTTTACCATAGGGACATTGTGGTTTAGAATTATCCAAGGATTTCATCCTCAAATTTAATGTACTCTTTGCTGAATCACCCTGTATACTGTATATACTTTTCTGTAATATCTACTAGGTTAGATATCGTGGTGCAACCAAACGCATATGTCGCCTTCTTCGACACACTGTGGAGTACATCACTGACCACTGGCAAAGCTTCCTTTCTTTGCACCAGTACTCATTGAGCCACAGCACTGCCATGTCTCAGGCAGTAGCTCATTTGGAATCTTTACAGGTTAGCTATTGTGTTGTGTTTAATTTGTTATAGATAATAAGGTATTAGTGAATATGCATTTCTGTACCATATACTGTTACCATACTATAGTTAAACTATAGTACTGTATACAGTTGTAAAATAACTTCTTTAGTAATGCTTAGAGTTTCTAGTCAACTATACTTTGGTATTACAGTAACAAGTCTCTAAATAATATAAGCTGTGATATATACTTTAAGTCTCCCCCAAGTAGTTAGATTTTGATTGAGTGTCAGATACTGCAGTGTGAGTTTAACCCAATAATGTATAATTAGGTTTTCCAGTCACACACCACTGGTGCAAAATAAAACTTAGTGAAAATATTTTTCTCCAACACAATTTTCACACTTATGAAATTAAGACAGCATGCAAACATTTAACAAAGAAATAGTTTAGCCATGCTGTGGTAATGAAGTTGAGCATCTTGGGCCAATCAGCTGAGTGAGAGTTATGGGACAGGAGGTTTATAATGTGAAATTTTATGTATGGTTTGTAAAAGCCACTGGGCTAGAGTGAAAATACACTAACACTCTTGTTTTTTGCACACAATACTCATACTTTATTTACAAATTACCTCTGTACTTTTTCATAGAGTAGTAATTCCTATAACTGGGTGCCACCCATAACCATACATCACATTCTCCACACCAAACACTGACCATCTCTATCTCATATACATACATACAAACATTGTAACAGTTCATTGGTTTAATGGCATAGAGCCCAAGAAGTCTACCCTGAGCCTGTGTTTCTTGTCGTGCTTACCCTGTGGAAGTTAGAGTACAGTACCATACTTTTTTGGGATCTGGAATTTTCTTTGTTTTGTTTTTTTATTCCCCATCTTTACCAGGTATAATGTATACAAGTATTATATGAGTTGAGGACTGTTATGACAACTACAAAAAAAATGTATGATACTATTTTACAGTTTCTCTCACATGTTCCACTGCGTTTAGTTGACAACCACTTTTATCAATCAACCTCTTGTTTTCACTGTACAGAGCAATCCAAAACTGCTTCAGGTCATTTAGTCCTGCTTATCACTGTTTTGTATATGAGCCTTGTGAACTACAGCCAGCATGATAATTTGCCACTTGTCATGCCAGTTGATTGCAAATACTTTACCAGACTTTTGGTATTCAAAATACAGTGATCCCTCGGTTAACGAACGCCTCGGTTAACGAACTGCCTTCCATAAGAATCTTCAATTCGGTTAACGAACAAAAATTCGGTTAACGAATTTCTTACGAACCGACCTCAACATGTTTTCGCTTGCACTGGCCGGGCAACCAGCTTTAGTATCAGTCCGCCAATACATTAATCGGTTCTAGTGCTTAAATTCCTTACTATTTTAGTAAATATCAAGAAGTTTATACTATTCAATAATTTTAAAAGTTTAATATTCAATTTTTTAGTCATTTTAACAATTATTGAACATAATTGAAGGTAAAATGACTAGTTTAATGTGCGGCATCCAGCCTCTTAACACAACAAACAGGCGTTAGTCTCTCTCTGTTTTCACTGGAGGTAACATCTTGCTTGAGACTCTCTTCAACTAAATGCTTTTTTCTGTGTTTCCAAGCAAATTATTGGTCATTTTGAAATATATTTTACATATTGACAATATATAATGCAGTGCAGTGTTGATTTAAAGAAAATAATCTTGAAATACACCAAGAGAACTAAAATTTTATGGGTGAAATGGTGCCATGGGGTGACTTCTCTTCCACCCCAATGCCTTCTCTTCTTCCTTCTCCTCCACCCCCATTCTAATTCCCATCATCATCATCCAGGAGCCTTCTACATACACACCTCAAAGTAAGTGAACTTTTCTACCATTTTTGTTGAATTTAGGAAATTTTCGGTGAGCTGGAACTAATTACCCAAAAACCCATTGAAACAATGGTTTCAGTTAACGAACTTTTCGGTTAACAAACAACCTGCTGGAACGGATTGAGTTCGTTAACCGAGGGACCACTGTACTCACACTGGGTGGTAGTAAATTATTTTTTTGTCTTTTTTCCATTTTTTCTGACAGTTCCACATATTTCAGTGTTCTGTATATGCATGAATCTAGACACATAAGTAAGGGTTACTTTACCAGTTATCAGTTCCCCTTACCTATTTATGGGGGATTACAGTTTTTTCATTATGGCCTTTAACACCCCCAATGGGTTTTTTTAAGATGTCAGTGTCATATTGAGCACACTGCCTGTTTCACAGTCACATAATACAGGTATGGGACTGTTTGTCTAGGGTCACGGTATCCAGAACACTTTAATAACGGCTATGTTCTGGAACAAATTATTTAAAATGAGTGCCAAAAGTGATTCTTGGTCCAAATAAGGATATTTAAAACCTTTCATTAACTGTGAGCTACCCCGGTATATGTTATGGTATACTTATTTTTCAACTCATAACTTCCGGTAGATATGTGTAACTTTCTTAATTTTCTTTATTTGGTTACATACACACTCAATCTTACATATAGAAAGTGAAAAAAATTATCATAAAGTATAAATTATTTTTCAACTCGTGTTTTCAAGTAGATACACATAATTTTCTTTTTTTTTTTACCACTTTCACACGCACACACAATCTTACAAATAGAAAATGTAAAAATAAATAATTAAAATAAATAATTATCACAAGGAATAAAATTTTACATCGGTGAAGCCGTGTGGTGAGTGTGTGAAGAGGTCGAAGGATCTGGGCCAGAGCACCGATGTTAAGGCGAGTATTAGGGACAACTGCGACACAGTGTGTACACTAACATGTGTCATTTTTGCTCTCTTTATGCTTTCATTATTATTGAACTATTTATATCCTCTTGTTATTGATGTTTATATGCCTACAATTTTCAGTTTTAATGTTAGTGTACAGTTAAAAGCTACTTTTAGGTGTGAATCTAATGATCTGAACAGAGTCTTCACAGTCAGTTACAAAGAGTTTACTGAACATTTTGTACATTTTATGCCTGGTGCTCCAAATTCCATAAAAAAGCTATTTGGCGACCCCCAGATCCCAAGCATGCCAGATAAATGGTCCCATACCTGTACATATATTTTTATACCAGGGCTTCTTCAATAAGATGAACTGCTTGAAGTCAGGTCTTACCTTGAATATCACTAAACTTTCATCAATTACCTCCTTATGAAAGGGGGTAAAAGAAGTTTCCATACATCTCCACGATCATATTGATATTGAAACAGTTTATTTAGCCAGAAAAATATAGATACTTCCCTAACTTTCTTAGTTGATCATTTTCAGTGTTATTGTTATCTACAAAGTGTATGAGGTGTAGAAACTAGAGAAATCACTCCTTATTCATAAATTTACCAAATCAATGATGCAATGTTTCTTTATGAGAGGCAGCAATAACTACAGTACAAAAAGCACTACATACATTTCCTGAATACTGCATACAAGTATGTGTCTACTCAACTGGCAAGCCTTGGACTGGAAACAAACTGGATTTGGGAATTTTCTGAATTTTGGATATCCTATAATAGGCATAAACTCTACATAAAATGTTACATGAATTATTGGCAAATATACAGAACTGCAGAAGGTTATCATGTGATCGCCACTTCGCCAGAATAAAATTCAGTAGGGTCTCATCTGGCATGGATTTGATTATAAACAATTAAATAAATACTAAGTGATTAATTATTTACTGAAAGATGAGAGATTATATTGTACAGTATATGGCCCTGGCCCTGTGCATGCTACCTGCGCATTTCTCAAGCAGTGGTTCCAGCTGCCAGGTCCCCTTGGCTAGAACCTTGGTTTGTTTACATTGATGAGGATGAGAAATTGCTTGACTTTTAGTTGTTTTTAAAAAAAAAAAATTTCTATTTACACTTTACTACACGGTGCCACCTAACTATAAACAGTCTGCTAGTGTTGCTGCAGTGAAGAAACCATGTAGGGTAATGACATTAGCTGAGAAAATTATTTATGACAAACTCTAGCATCCCTCAGTTGCCAGTACAGCAAAATAAGCTATCCATGTGCCTTATTTGTGTGAGAGAAAAAGGTTGGTGCTAAACTAAAGGCACTCTTGCTTTGAAAAGATTGAGGCATTATTAAGTGTGCAGATCACTGATCAAATTAAAATAAAAGCTCTGTTGTTGGTGGCATACCCATACAGCAAAGAGCATGTGGTTGCCAGTGAAGGTTTATTTTTCATTGGTGAATGCAACCTTCTGTACAGTGTTATCCGAGTATTTCAGTATCTACAAACACATTACAAATAAACTTTAGCACATACATATTTATGTGTAATTTCTACAAAAAGTATCTGCAAAATGTTTTGCTAGACAATGTGACACAATGGACGAAGGATTCTGACAACCTTACTGAGACAACAGGAGTCGCAGTGTTTATTTTGACATCCAGATACTTTCTGTAGTGAGTGTACTATCATGGACAAAAGTTCGCTCCCTCCCAAAATGAAGCAGTATCGACCCCATATGAGAAAAAACAGCACACCCGCACCAGATGACAGTCAAGGTAAATCAGTTCGGAGACTCATTCTGGTGACTCGGTTTCACCACAGGGAGCGAACTTTTGTCCACGATAGTACATGTATACGCTATACATATGCAGTCCAATATATATTCACGCTTGAAACTAGGTTAGATTTTTTTTTCAACTTCTCCAAACACAATTTTTCCCTTAAGGTATTAAGTTTGCCCGGTGTGAATATGCCAAAAATGATATTATTCAAGAATGTAAATCCCACATTGGACAAGTGAAGTTTTTTGGGGCGCAGAAACATGATTGGAAATTGTTTTTGGGGCTCTAACCATTCCGAGTTATCAAGGCACTTTCCTCCCAGTCTTTCGTTCCACCCCAATACCCAACTTTTGGGCCAAAATGACCTACCAGCACTACAGGTGAAGAATGAGGATAATTTAGCCACAATACTATATGCAGTACAATTCTGTATTGTAAGCACTTAAAGCACCAACCTTACCAGTGAATGCCTGGGAGGCGTTCACTGAACCAGTGCAAGACAGAGACGTATGCCAGAGTGGTTATTATTTTTTTTTGTTACATGCACGGACAATCTTTCATACAGGATGTACAAAAAAAAATAAGGTCAAAAGCAACAAGGAATAAACTTTTCTTACACATGTGGGAGTTGTCACACACAGCTGGGAAAGGGAAGGGGGGAATGGCGTGGGGGATCTCTCAGCTGTTCGCTGTCTCGTGTATACAGTAGTTAAATGATTGCCAAATGACGATGCATTATTTTTTCTTTTATTTTATTTATTAGTACCTGTATATATTATTTTATTTACAAAGAATAGCTCCTCTGGGGGACTTGACACAGTTCAGCTACCCAGCTGACTCGCATCAGGGAAGGGTGGGAGGGAGCAGTACAGTTACATTTACAGCAGACTGCCTCCTCACGCAAACGTTCATTTCTCTCACATACACACTCACGCTCTTCATATTTCTTATTTTATATTTTTATGCTATATTTTCTTTATTTCTAAGCCACAGTAGAGTACTATACTGTATTGTAATAATTTTTTTCTCAAACGATCATGGACAAGTGATAAATATGCTGAGCAAGCAGGAGATAATGGGTGGGTTGGCTAGCACAAGAGTGGGACCCAAGCATAAGGTTACACATGTTATGCCATTCTGAGATTGTGTCATCATATTGCAGAATATTCGAGTTGTGCAAAATATATTTTTTATGTCAAATAATTAAAAAATAATTTACAGTAGAATATTTTACTGCCATTCTGAGTTATATCTAATTATGAGTTATTAAATTCAAGCTACTGTATTAAGGGTTTACTAAGGCTGAATTTATAAAAGGTCACTGATTTGAATACAGTATCTTGATATTTGGAGGTTGATTTTTACCATTTGCAGTCCGGTATTATTTATCTTGCTCCAGAAACTTCTTGTAGATTCCCCTCACACAGGAAAGGACACTGTGTTTTAAGAGAGGAAACGATGAACACTGGCATAGATACCAGGTGTCCCTCCGCCCCAAGAGGCAGGAGGAAGATTTGGACACTGATTTAATTTTCATGCATATCTCTTCACACACTTTTCAGACCACTGACCAGCTGACATAGTGATGTTCCCAGGTGCCCATGTAAGCACCTTAGCTTCTTCTGTTGATCGGAAAAAGTAACAAAAACTTTTTGCGACTTTGGGGTCTTCATTCATTTCACAAAGCACAAGATAACAAAGTTTGTATCTTTGAAATATGAATAACACTAAACACCAGAGCATAGTGTAGGTGTTAATCACATGGGTATGGCTTGATAGAGCTCACATAGGTTCAACTTTGGCCTATTGCACAACATTGCATAGTACAGTAGTGAAATTTAATTCTTTCCACATTCCTGGTTTCCTCCCAATTGGATTTTTTTATGAATTTGTACCGAGGTTAAAATGGCTGGAGTTTGGAGAGATGGATAATTGATACACTACCGATATTTGAGAAATGTATATACTGTCCTTTACTGGTAATTAGAGTAATAAAGATTGCACCATGTTCCCAAACAATTTAATCACATTTTTTTTCCATTTATTAGTAATAAAAACTTTCATATCTTACAGGTGGTGGTAAACAACATATTTGAGGCAACATTTGTAAATGAAGGAACAAGAGAAGCTCTGAGTCGTAATGGCAGGGATCTTCTTGCTACAATTGCAGCCAAGCACCCGTTATCTATTTCATATCTGCTTACTGCAACTCAGGTACCATTGATGCATCAGTCTTCTTGTCACTTTTGAAACAATGTTACAAAGTAATACAGTATTTTGTAATTGATATTCTTTGATTAAAGTGCATGGAGTAGCAAGGTCTTTTGAGAATCATTGACTGTAAGTATATTGTAATGTAATGGCTTTATAGCATGACTAATGAATTATTGGATGGCAAAGAGGATTTGAGAACTGCACTTGAAAGGAAGAGAGGAGAGATACTGTATATACTGTGTGAAATTCTTGAAGTTAAAGATTGTTTCAACATTTTAAATTACTATAAACGTTAATACCTGTACCAGAAGAGTTGGTTGAAGCTGTACTCTAATAAATTGTACTGTACATGAAATTGGAAAAATATTGAGACACAAATTTCAATAACAGATTAACTTATGAGAGAAGATAAGAGAGATGAAAACTTTGTGTTGCATGTAAGGCTTGTTACATTTGCCATTATCTAAGGATATGAATAGATTTAGTTCACAGCTTATGTTTTAATTTATGATCCATTAACATGATTTTATTGTTTTATTCCCCTCATGGGGCTTTGTATAACCTATCACTTCCTTTAAATTTGAATGAAGAAAGATAATAAAAAAGTATGTACAATACAGTACAGTAGTTAGATTTAAGGTATTGATTGGAGATTTTGTATGTACAGTGTACCATGTTAAACTTTGCCCACTCTTAGAACTGAAAAGCCAAAATTGAAAATATATTAACTCAACCTTGCCAGCTGAGACTAACTTTTAATTATTTTTAAGATGCTGGAACTAAGTAATAAGTATTTTATTTAAACTATTTCAGGAATGGATATCAAATGTAGGGGGTATGGCACTCTACTTATTCCGTGCCCTGCCTTTGGAATTGTGGGAGCCTGGTAATGATGATGTAACATGTGTGTCCCTTTGGTTACTGTTCATGCCAGCAGCCAGTGTTGAGAATCAGCTGGCAAGAATTATCTTCAGCAAGCTCAACTGGGGAGAGAATGAGACTGAGTGTCAACTTGTACTTCAACAAGAACTGTGTGTGTTGATTTTATTTAAAAATAAAAAATAAAAGCCAGTACAGTACTCTATATATATATATATATATATATATATATATATATATATATATATATATATATATATATATATATATATATATATATATATATATATATATATATATATATATATATATATATATATATATATATATATAATTTTTTTTTTTTTTTTTTTCAAAGTGTGTCATATTTTGAAATTCTACCAGATATTATGAAATTTGTAATACTGTACTGTATATATTTTTTAACAGAAAACGTTACAAATTATGATTGATTTCCAATTTGAGGGATACGAATTGTGGGGGTTTTACTGTACTGTACAGTGAAGAATCTTTTTAAATTTTCAAAACTCATAAAATTAATGTATACAGGTGGCGCTGACTGTATTGGAGGCTCATATTAAGATATGTCGTGATTTGTATTCTGGAAGCCTGCTGACTGAAGGAGTTAAGCAAGTCACTTCTGTTATGTACTCTCCATCTCCAGAACAGGTTAGATGATTTCACTGAATATGTTTTATATCTTGAGTATCATCAAAAGATGCTGAGAGAAACTTAATAGATTACTGTAGTTATATTACACACACAGGGTAGATGTATATATGATTACCACTTACATTCCACTTTGTTCTTTTTTTTTTTGCTATTCTGTGACTAATCACTTCTACTTCCATATGTTGTTCCTTTAACTCTCTTCTTGTGAGTTTGTAAAGTCACAATTTATATCGTGGAAGATACAGTATGTTGAGAAAACAGGCAAGATAAACAAGGAGTTGTATAAGGCGGCTGAAAAGATGGTCCCACTTTATGTCATAGAGGAATCACTTTGTTACTGACAAATAACTGGGAGAACCAAGTAAATGTATCTTCAAAATCATGTCCATTAGACAAAAGGTCTGCACTTGTGCTTATTATATGTGCAATCAAAATCATTAATTAAGATGGTTTTTCTGTACAGATGTTCTTTAATTGGTCTTGGGAACTGCTTATACGTCTGAGACTCCACCGACTAGACCAGCCTAAGGCACAGGTTCAAGCTGCCCTGGCCTCTCCATCATCACTCCTTGTGGACATGCCAGACCCAACCTCAGCAGCAATAACTCAAGCGTAAGTGATGACCCATAGTAGTTAGTGTGTCTTCTTATTATATGCTTTATTATTTCCTATTGTCATTAACTTTTTTCTTTCCTCAGCTTCAGACTCAGGCATCTGTGAGAACTTACTCTCTCATTGTTAGTTGAGGAATTTTCAGTGTTATATATGCTTTAGTATTCATGCCGACCTGACTTCATACCACTGGATAGGCTGCATTTGGTTTAATGTGAACATAACTGATCATTTGATGCCAAGACCCCAAAGTACTCAATTCATCTCACCTGGGAGGTTCTTCCTTATGAAAACAGAGACTTGACATAAAGATGGTGATAGTTGACATCGGTGTTCTAATTTTATGTCTTTTAATTCAGTGTTTGGTGATTTTTTAAAGCTATTAAAACACTATATACCAATACTTCCATAACCCCTCAGATATAGTCAATTCAGATTCAGACCAAGAAACGAATATATATATTCCTCGCTAATAGTCAATCTAAGCTTTGAGGAAAGGAACA